CGCCGCGCGCTCTACGGACTTAACAGGCAGGGTTAGCTTGGTGGAAGCCCTCGACCGGTCCATGGCCGACCTAGGCTTTAAACGCCTGGTGTCAGACGCTGGTATATTCGTCTACAACAAAGATGGCAATTTCTGCATTGCCGTAGTCTATGTTGACGATGCCTTCTTTATGGGGCCCAAGAACTCTCCTACCGTCCTAAGGCTCAAACGAGCTTTCATGGATAAGTGGGAGTGCAGAGAACTCGACGGCAAAGAGTTCTTACGTATGCGTATCACTTGGAAAGGCAACTGTGTCCATCTTGACCAGCGAGCCTACCTAGACAAAATACTGCAGCGTTTTGGTATGGAGAATGCGCGAGTCGCACCCACACCATTGCCAACTGGCTATTTGCCTAAGACCAATGAAGCACCTGTTGATCCGGTTCTTAGGAATCGTTTCCAGACCGTTATCGGATCGTTGCTTTATCTTATGATTGGCACTCGACCAGACATTGCCTTTGCAGTGACCGCACTTGCGCGACACTCGGCCAATCCCTCTAAGGATCACCTCGCCAAAGCCTTATACATTTGCCGCTACTTAGTCGGCACCAAGGATTACTCCTTGAAGTATGATGGCGGCTCGGGATTAGGCTTTTTGGCATGTACTGACTCTGACTGGGCTTCAGACCCTAATTCGAGACGGTCGATCACAGGCTACTTCATCAAATTGGCTAACGGGATAGTCTCCTGGACTTCACGAGCACAGAAAACTGTTGCACTGTCGTCTACAGAAGCAGAGTATATGGCACTCTCTGATTGCAGTCGCCAAATGCTCTGGATACGAGCTTTGTTCATGGAGCTCGGGTATAGGTTTAACCGACTACCCATCTGCGGTGATAACCAAGGATCGATATTCATCGCATCCAATGCGGTTACTGAGCGCCGCTCCAAACACATTGATGTGCTATACCACTTCATTCGTGAGCACGTCAATAGGGAGCTCGAGCTGTTCTACATCGAAGGTTCTGAGAACCCCGCAGACATGTTCACCAAGAACTTAGGGCATGAAAAGTTCCTCAAGTTCAGGTCACAACTGGGCCTAGTGTTCGGTTGAAACCATTGTCCTCCCTGTGGCTGCATTTTTGCGCCGTACCCGCTTACGTGCCTACCGTTGCACTCAGCGAGGGGGAGTGTTGAATTGGCGCTCTACAGCCACCGATTCACAGGCGCTGGCACAGCCTGCCTTGACTGCCGTCCTCGGCACAGCTGTATCTATTTCTGACACAATAGGCTGTGCGTAGCTACGTTCCACAGCCTTCTTTATTGTTCTATAGCTTAGCATGTGATTGCACCGCATAGCCACTCTCTGTAGTATATATACAGGACTGTCTGAGCGTTGCAATACAAGTCGCTTTACTTCTGTCCTCCACAGACTGAGACTTACCCAGACTCAACCAGGTGAGCTTGACGTCGCCCGCCACTGTGTGCGGCAGCGCAGCTTTCACAATCCGTGTATGACAGGCAGGTTGGAATGTCAAGCGGATAGCCAAATATGGCGTTTCGCATATCGCAGACGTAGGAGGGACACAGACATAGGTGTAGCACATCCATAACTGTACGAGGAGTGCTGGCGGCAGCCCTGTCTGATAGTAGACGTATACGGGCCCCATAGCATGCAGTAAGAAACCAGGAACTAGTACGGGATGCATATTATATGCAGAGATGCGGATGGAGTGGTGAATCGACTAGGAACCGGACCGTAAAGGTCGGGCGTCATCCACAAAGTACTCCGTGAATCCATTGACTGTGCCCATGTCCTGTGTCTGATACAGACGTCTACAAGCATCGGGTGCTCGTACCAGGCTCGGGAATGGATATGGGCTCAGATACATGACAGCAAGGAGGTCTCTCCAACATGCACTGCACTAGTCGTAGCAGAATCGGATTATGGGTCGAATCGAGTGTAGCGGCTCTGGAGCCGCTACACTCGATTCGACCGTAATCCGCGACCATAATCGACTTTCGAATCCACTCCGTAATCTGTCCCATAATCGCCAACTTTGAGGCCCCCTATTGTCATACTCAGGCCGCAGCCGGAGGGCCTTCGGAATCGCTAATCTTAATCTCCTCCCACTCGACGCCGTCCAGGATCCGCAGATTAACGGGCATGATCGCCACCATCTGACGAGCTTGCTCTTTACCGGCGTCGGACATCTTCGCCACAATTTCCGGGGGAGGGCCAATAACCTTCACGTGTGTCGACACACCGCAGATCGAACAGAATTTGTGCTCCAGAAACTTGCGCGCGAATTGGTATGTCGTAATGATTCCAGGGTTCGCCTCCGATATTCCAACCTTCTCAACCTTTGGATAGAAGAACACGTATGCGTTCTGAAAGCACAAAATCAGGGATCGACGTGTGTGAATGGATGAACGCCGCCCACCGCCGTGCAGATACTGCAGTCGCACTCCCGCACCTCAACGAGGCTCAACGGCTTCGTTCTGACCGCCAGGGTCACACCACCGCAATGGCAGCTCCCGGTGTAAAGCCTTTCTCCCGTTTGCGGTACAATCTCTGGACCCGTGTACTTCGGATGCTCATACGCAGGCGCACGACTGATACACTCGGATCTGTCAATCGAGGGGACTATCAGCATAGATTCCCAAGGGCGACGGTCATGACATCACTTATTGACAGCTATAGTCGAGATCTTCACGTCCTTAAGCATGCGCGCCTAGCAAATAGCGTGTCATGGTTATACTTATAATGTCATTCGAGGTATTTGGGCGATGTTGTGACTGACGTTGATCAGGGTAGACCCATTTGTGATTTGTCCGAGGACAGAAGAACCACACGTTGGGCAAAACTGAGATATAACTCAAGGCCTGCCCAATTGGAGATCCAAGTGGGTGCTTACTTTGTATTTGACGTTTTTTCCTCCGAATTCGTACGTCTTAAGGGTGTCGTTTCCGGATTCAAATACAACATCCTCTGGCGTCTTCGCTATCGTCCAGTACGAGCCATTTTTGGAACATAGGCTGCAGTTGCAGGTGGTCACAGATTTCAATTGCGGCAGCTTCACCGAGAACTGGAATGCGCCGCAATGACAGCTTCCATGATATGTTTGATGTGCCAGTTCGTTTTCTGCCATGGCTATACCTTGTATTCGAGGCGGTGCTACGACACAGCTAATAGAAAACGTACAGAGGTAGAACGGACAGCTTGGCAAACGGGCGTGCAGTGATGGCAGGGTATTTAAACACTCGCAGCAAGCCTTAGGAAGCTGATGCAGGCGGAACCTGCCAATATGGTTACGCATCGAGTCATTCTGATCGGAGCAGCTGCGGGTCAGACTGATCCCAGCCAACACCGGCCGCGGATGATCTACAATCCAGGATTCGATCATGACATGGATTTGGACATAACCTGACCAGCAGCAATGCGGATGGATACATATGGCGAAGATCGCATGCAAAAAAAGTGGAAGACAGATGAAGCTTCAAGAAATTCGTCCGTTATCAATACATATATCAGCATCCACGGACGGCGACGAACGGAATGTTAGCCGTCGATAGCCATCTCTGTGGAGGTTGCGTCAATGGTGGCGCGAGGAGCAGCTTGACTTCGTCTGCGAGCGTATTCGCTTTGCCTCGCCTTTTTCTTCGCGCTCAGAGCAACCCCGTTGTCGGCGCCTGATGCAGAGACCCGCCCAGCGCCGCCCAGAGATTTCCTATCGGCCACAGCCGCACCCATACTCGAACGGGTTCTGGTGCCCGACGACTTGCCTCCAGAGGGGCGCGTAGAAGGTCCTGGTGGGTTGGTAGATCGTTGAGCACCCAGCTTCGCGATTACCTTCGAGCGCGAAATGCGTGGTTTACGTATAGGGCCGGCTGCACGAGGTTGCGGGCTTCGAACCAATGAGGGCCCAAGGTTCTCGGAACCGTTGGAAACACCGGCGTCTTCAGCACGATGCGCGAGGGACTTGCCGACCGGCGATGGAATTTTCGTTGTCGGACTGGTCAAAGCCGCAGCGGACATCGAGATGGGCTTGCTGAAGATTACTCCAGGGGGACGAGGCTCCGCCGCGTTCGTGATGGGTTCCAAGGCTTGCTTTGTGCCGGTGAGTCTGGAGGTTGATCCAGATGCCGAGGCGTGAGTCGACGGTCGAACTGCGCTTTGCATTTTCGCCAGTGAGCTTGCAGTTGGTGCAAGTAATCGCGAGACCCTCTTAATCTCCGCTCCGTTCGGGCTGGCAACTTCACTAACTCGATTGGAGGTGCAACTTGATCCAATCTTCGGGGAATCAGTTCGCGTCAGAGCGCTCCTTGCGCCCAGTGACGACGGTCGGGAAGTGAGCTGGTTCCCCGCCGAGCTATTGCGGGCCCCGAGAGAGTTCACTCCAGCGACGGACGTCCGGAAGGCAGCCTTTACAGACGTCATCGTTCCGGTTGAACCAGGAACGCGAGATCCTGCAGTTCCCGCAGAGCTTTGACGAGCAGCTCCTACGATACTTCGCCTAGCGCTAGGTGCAGTGGATGGGCGGGAGGCCATAGACGATCGGGAACTCCTGACACTTCCGTCGGTTGACGGTGCGGGTCCTATCTTTGTGCTTGGCGCTGGTTTGAAGAGCTTCTTCCTCTGTTCGGCCGCGGGTGCAGTGGCAGGTTGGTTGACCGTCTTCGCGTTCGATGGGAGTTGTGCCTTCTTCTGAGCAGCGCTGTTGTCTGTAGAAGCCTTCGTGCCCCAAACCTTTCCTACGAATGATTTCGCTGCCCCCAAGAAACCAAAGCGACCTTTGGTCACAGGTGGCGCTGTCAGACAATGGGTCAGCGCAGACCGGAAGGATTCAAAACATCCACATACGTTGACCCACGCGTCCTATGCTCGTTCTGGGTACAGGCATGCCGCGGCTGCTTCGCCTCCTTGCCCTGTTGAGCTCAAGTTTCCTGCGAATAGCCTCTCTCTCCTTCTGGCGCCGGAGTTCATCCTCAGGGTCTGCCTGGTCATCTTGAGCCGGTGCACAAGGCTCTGTGCCCTGCCGTGTCACCTGATCCAAGCTAACCCGCGCCCTCTTGCTCATCCTCCTATTCTCATCCTGTGGTTCGTCATCGTCCATGTCGTCGCCGAAAGAACCCGGAAGCATCTTCTTGCGCGTGCCGTTGCTGATGACTCGCGCTGTACTGGAGCGACGGCCCGCGGGTCCACGATTGGGACCGAGAACATCGCTCTTTCTCTTGATACCGACCCGGGCGCCTGCATTTGCGCGCCTCTGGGTGTACTCAGCGATGCCCTCCATCTTTTCGAACACTTCTTGATGAGCCTTATCGTAGCCGAACTTGTCCCGGCTGGTTTTCGGTCCCGCCTAGAGAATCAGCGCGTAAGTATCACATAGAGAGCAAAAGAAGGAGACCCTTTTGCCTGTAGTGCTGAACCTTCGAACTTCTTCACATTCAGAATATCGGTCGTCACGGCGGCATTCCCGGTCAGCCCCAGACGAGCGTTCATCTCAGCAAGAACGATGTTGGCTGCCTGAGCGAATTGCTGGTTCGAAACATTGTGTTCAGGAGCAGGGGAACCGAACACAAACGGTTGGGATTGCGAAGGTGTCCTAGGTGCAGCGGTATCCGACGCAGAAGGCGGTGGAGGGAACAAATCCATTACGCTCGTACGCGTATGGGCCGTGCCGTCCACGGTGTATGCCGTTGCGTTGGCGGTGGTCGCGGACTGAGGAGAAGATATATGCAGTGCCGTGAGAGGAGACGCAGAGCCTTCGAAGCCACCCGGCATACCCATATCTACGTCGGCTTCGGCCTGAACGTTAGCCATTGGCTGAGGGTCCGACGGGAGAGCGGGATAAAGGTTCTTCGCGGGAGTGGGGGAAGTCGGCCATGCAGCTTGCGGCCACGCGCTGGGAATGCCACCTGGCGTGCCCATTATAAGGTCGAAAGTTGTCTGGAAGGCCGGAAGCTTGGGCGGGCTGTCCCAGATGCTCAAACCATTGGCCGCACTAGGGGCCGCGCTGGTGTTGTCGGTGGTTTCGCTACTGGATGAAGTGAGGCTGACCAGGCGCACAGTTGTGCTGCCGGCCTGGCCGCTGGTACCCATGCTTAGACGAACGTTTCCTGATGGAGCGGGAGCGCCTGGGCGATGCACCGTTCCGGGCAACGGTGCGTTCAGCGATTCACGACTGCAAAGTGAATTTCTCAGAATCACGATCTCCGTGTGAGCAAAACAAGGGCTCACCGAGCGCCATCATCACCCCAAACAAAGTGATCAGTGACAGGAGGACCGGCCGCGGAAGTGCTTGTATATGGTACAGAGGTAAGAGTGAGTTCACCAGAAGGCCCATTCGAGGCCGAAGGTATGGCATACGTCTTCGATGGCGAAGACGCTGTAGAAGGTGGGACAGATGGAAAGATGCCAGTGCTACCTGTTGATTTGGTGGATGCCCCTCGTTTGAGGCCTAAAGAGGTGGCAAGTGCTTTGATTGAGGAAGAAACGGAAGAGGAAGCTAGCGCGATGTTGTCAGTCGTCACTTCAGCGGAAATACCAATAGAACAAACATTTAGACCCCGTGCTCCCCGCTATTCCGAACTCGCCAGAAGCGCCTGCACCCAGGCGGTTCAGGGATTTATGGGAGTTCAGCGTTCCCTGCGAGGCTTCGTCCAACTCTTCGATGGTATCCATCACGATCTCCCATTGCTCCGAGGGCCGCGGCATGCCGTAGCTTGGGTTGACGTTGAGATGGAAATTATCACTTTCTGGTTCCGAAGACGCGCGTGAGGGGGGAGAGGCGGAGGCCTCGCTAGTCGAGGCAGCGTTCGAGTCCGGAACGGCTGTCGAGGTACTAGAGGCGCCTTTCTGGAGCTGGAGGCCGTGTTGCCGCAGCCGCTCGATGATCTCGACGTTCTTTCCGGATGCCTTGACACCATGGGTCTTGCAGAGTTTCAGGAGTTGGTCTCGTTTGAGCGAGTGCAGTGCGGGGGAGTTAAAGAGTATCTGAGTGTGTGTGTCCATGACGGACCGGCGCCGCAGTGCGGTTGTCTTGGTGGGATGTGTGCGTAGTGTGAGATTGAGATGAAGGGAATAAGGTCTGCAAACAGTCGTAGACGTTCGTCGGTCGTCAAGTTTCGTTTAGCTGTGGGTCCACGTTTGGCTGTTGTTGATCATACAACCAACGCCTGGTCCGAATCAACGAAAAATCAGAAGTTCAGGCGCGGCAGGGCAGTAATACAATGCGCTGGAGTAGAAATGACAATGATAGCGGCTTTTACGAAGACCAAACGGCAACGGCCTCAGCAAACGAGAACACAAGGCCCCAGGACTGTTCTGAAACCAACCACAATTAAACGGCCTGTGTCCGACATCATGTGACCGCGTTCAGACACTGCGTGATAATTAACGTTTCACTGTCGCCCCTTCATGTATAACACGCCGTATAAGTATAACACCATTGCCGTGGATATGTATCTGCATATCTGGTCGGCCCGTGCTGTATCTGGCTCTGACGGCCGCGGAACACCAGCTGCAGCACCTGCATGGGTCAATTTTGATCTGCGTGGACCAACTCCTACACGCGTCCTAGCATCGACGGGGCAAACAAAACAAATTATTCTTATTACCATCTGGGATGGCACGCGCTTGAACGCGTGCTGCTCAATCTCCACATCTCTCGGTGGCAGCCAATCGGTTGTCCCTACTGTAGCAATGCAACCTGCAGGCCCAATGTCCTTGTTGTGTTCTTGTTGTGCAGAGACAAGCTTCCATATTCCGACTGCATCAGAACAATAGATGCAGCCAGCGATTATCTTCCCAAGCTGCGGCAATAGGAAGTACAACAAAGTTGTGCGCGTTGTTTGCTACCTTTTGCTTCCTCGGCGGACGCACAGCCACAACACCTCTGAGTGGAATCATGGACCGTCATGCCAAAACAGGCGCAAATATGGACCCCCAGCCCCTACGGAGACTGCCCCTTCGACGGACAGGCAATGAGGGGCTGCGACCTTCTGCGTGTAATGCGCCGGATGGCCCGCACGGCGATTCGTGGTGAATCCGTCCTGAAATCCATATATGTCGACGGGTTTGCATATATTGTTTGATTCAAGGGCGGACATGGGCACGAATGCAAATGTCTGAATGGGTCCGCTTGGGCATTGAGTTGAATGCTTCTGAACTCGGGGAAGACCGTTAGGTAAGTTATGTGTGCACCAGAGATTGTAATACCTTGTAATAGCCTGTGGTACCTTGTGGGTCCATGTTGTATGTCAATCGTTGCTGCCCAAGCACCATATTAGGGCAACAGGCCCTACAGTCGCCGTCTCAATCATGCAAGGGTAGCAGCGTATAAAGACAGCCCGTCGTCGTCGACTTGGCGAGCCAATCCGCCCGACTGTCGACCCTGCGCCCCTCCTCCTCGACGTCTTGCCCATTCCACTCGTCCGCAAAAATGCCTTCCAAAGCCGCCATGCGCACCAAAGCGAACCTTGAGAACACGCCCCCACGTGTGACGCCCACAACCAAGGCATCCGTCGCCCAGTTTGGCGCCCGCCTCGTCAGTGTAACCAACCACATCCGCGCCGCCTCCCGTCGTCGCCGTGCCCGCGCGAACGGCGCTTCCCGATATGCCCCCGACCAGATCAAGCCGCGGCGGCGCACCCCCGCGCCCCAGCACGAGCGGATCGATCGCGCGACGCATGCGCCGACCAACTCTACTATGGACGTCGACATGCCCGAAGCCAAGCCCGCTGCTTCAAGCTCTGTCTCGCTCCCTCGCCGCCTGACGAAACCTGCCTTCAAGCCAATCAACCGGGAGGCGATTCGCGCTGCCGACCCTGAGCTCGCGGATACGCCGACCCCTTATATCCAGCTTAGGCTAGCAGAGCATGGCAATGCGTACGTTCCTCCCATCTGCAATCGATATGTGCCGATACTGATCGGTCGACGCTTTCTTAGCATGTACAAGGTCCTCCAATCCGTCGAAGCGTCTGCTCCGGAGCGCAAAGAGGAGATGCCAAAGGAGGTTAAAATAGTAGTCAACGATGTCAAGACCGCCGAACTCCCCACTCACATACTCGGCGTATACCGCAACTGGGCACTACCTGGAGAGAGCAACAAACGGGTCGACCTCTATCCCGCTCACCACATCATGCTCGCCGCTCACTGTTCCAACCTCCCTCCTATCCCGGCACCACCAGCACAGAGTGCTCCAGAAGAAGCGCCGGCGACCATCACTGTCCCATTCCTCCCGATCTGCATCCCTTCGCCCCAAACCTTCCCGTTACTCCTTACGTACATCTACACCGGACGCGAAGATGCCCTCTACTCTGCTTTGCTCCCGATGCCGGTACCCTCATACCCGCCGACGGCCACCACCGAGGAACAGGCGCGGATAGACCAAGAGTTCTCCGCTTTGCTAGCGCGGTCGTTCCCCGCGGCCAAGCTCCTCGAATGGGCAATGCGCGTCAATGGACTTTGGAGGAACACGTGCACTCTGGGCGTTGACCTCGACGATCTGTGGACGGCCATCGACCTCTGCTGGGTGCTGCTTCTGGACGCCATCGCCATCTCCACTGGAGGTCCGCGAGTATCACGGTTTTGAGAGCTCGCTGTCTCTCATGCGCCATGTCTTATGCTGTAAAGGACCCGAAGAACCCGACCATCGCTGTATGCTCATATTATTACCTACTATGTACACCATCCGCATCGTCTCCACCGCATTGCATCACTCCCGTCACATACGCATCGTATCTTGTTATTAGTAATTTAAGTAGCATACCTCACGAATACATCGAATACAAATAACACTACGGTTCTGCTGATGGCGAAAGGAGCTGCAATCGGTGTGCGCAACGGACCTCGGATGTGCTTCCGCACAGCTATGGCTCCCTACGATGCTTCCCCCAAGAAACGGTGCTCGACACCGGCTATGTCTGTGATGGAGCCGGTTGCCCAACCTCTTCTGGCCAACGCCCTCCTACTGTCTATATAATGTGCTGCTTCCCAATACGCTGTCAGCAACAGCTGCAGGTTGCTCCCATGTGACCGCGTTGGGCCGTACTCTCAGTCCGACACACCCGTTTTCGCTCATACTTACCGGCTGCGCATATACCGAAGGCGCGTCGAGTTTCAACACGAAGCCTTGCATAATAATGGCTACGCGACCCATCCTGGATAACAGATCTTCTCTGGCTCGGCACCGTTTCCCCCCTTTTTATGCATGTTATCTCCTGAAGTCCGTCCGCACACCCAAAGCCACAGCGTACGAGAAGTTGCAAATCTGCCAGACGTTGGTTGGTTCACGTTTTTTTCGCAGAACGTACATTGGTTCAACACCGCATCCTCCCCGCCGCATTCGGTATGTCGCATGTTATACTTGCCTAGCGTATTGCACCTTAGTAACCTGGGTCTGGAGACAACACAACGGAGAAATATCACAGGGTGCATGGAAGACACAACACAACCGGCCATGGGTTATGCAGATGATTGTCCATGGCTTTCCCTCGAAACTTGCCGCACTACAATTCGAGTGGGCATGGCAGCATCCGCACATCTCACGTCATCTACGCGATGAAGGTGGAAAGAACACGCTGAGTGGCGGGAGATATCTCAAAGCGAACGTGGCGTACGTGTCTCTCTGACATTCCATCGGCGACCCTTGACTCATATCGGTGCTCAGTATTGCACGGACAATGGTCGCTTCCCACCCTTACACAAGCTGGCCTCTACGCGTCACCCTCTTCACTGAAGACGCTGTCAAGGCCTGGAAAGACGCCACCAACAAGCTCGACCGAGACGGATTACCTCTCCCTCCTGGGTTCACGCATACAGTCGAGCTGGAAGGTGTCAACGGGCGGTCGGGCCACCCGGGATCCGGTAGAACTGAAGCTATCGATGTTGCGGACGCGAACTTCACCAAAATGTGCCTGGACAAGCATAACATGTTGCTCTCCTCGACAACCGCCCCCCTATGTTCCGTCTGTGCCCAAAGAATCGATGACTACGCGATCGAGCCCCTATCCTCTGCTGTTTGCCCCAGTCGCCAATGCACTGCAACTTCTCATATCCTATGCCTGAGCTCACACTTCCTCTCTCAAATCGACGATGACGCTGGTATTCCTGCCATGATACCGCGGGGCGGTACATGTCCCCAGTGCGAACTATACGTCCTCTGGGGCGACGTTATTCGAGGATGCTACAGGCGGGAGGCGGGAATCACAACGAGTGCTATGGACGTGGATGACGAGCCTACCGATGATCCATGTGTAATAGGTGGTCCTGCTGGGGGGTCTGCGACAGAGCATCAGGCACGAGACGCCCCACCAAAGCAACGGATCAGACAACGTCTACAACTGCAGCTAGAAGAAGAGGGAGAATACTTCGACCTCGACGCTGTCGATACCACTGACGATGAGGCATCGAAAGAAGCCGCCACTCGTCGTTTGGGACCAGATTCTCGCCGAGCCCCGGTTGGTGGTTCAACCACGATGCGGGTCACAAGAAGAACGCCCGACAAGATGGCTAAGCGAACGACTTCAAAGCGACGATATCATACAACGAGATCGGTTATCGACGAATCATACTCTGATAATGTCGATTCTGGGACAACCGCCCCCGTTTCAGGGCTGGGTAGCCATCTGGCAACGCCATTCGCTCCGAAGAATGCCGTGAAGATACCGTATCCTCAGAGGGCCCCGGGAGTTGTAGACCGAGCCGAAGGCGAACAACGTTGCACTTCTGCTCCTGAAGTTGCTAGTCAACGAGCCAACAGTATCCGCTCGTCGCCACATCACACGCCCCCTCGTCAGACAGGAAGGACGTTTCAGGACGAAGAATATGGTCTATACGCGTCGGACACGTCACCGTCCGATCCAAAGTTCTCTCATACATTCTCTGTCCTGTCTATATCGTCTCCGTCCAATTCCCCACTTGGTGCACGAGATGTCATTGAACTCTCGGACTAAGCAGCTTCTCCGGTCCGAGCCGGTCCGAGCTGATGATATCATGGCTAGATTGGATTTCTGCAGCATCCGCTAAGACTTGACTTCACTCATCCTTCACCACCTCCATCAGTTTTCTTCTTGCAAGCCACTACGTCCGTCTTCTTGAGAGCTATCGTCGATCATGTCCAGCACTTCAGAAGAAATTGTTATCATAGGTGCCGGAATCATCGGGAGCACGATAGGTAACCATGAATGCTTATTCGCCAACACCTGTCTTGAACTATATCCACAGCCTACTACATTACACGACATCCACGCTTCTCGAGCAACACACGGATCATTATATTGGAAGCCTCCAAAGTTGGCGCTGCACAAGGCGCCTCCGGTAAAGCTGGTGGACTGGTAGCTCGCTGGGCATATCCGAAGGAGCTGGTGAACGTCTCCTTCCCAGAACATGTCCGTCTCGCGGAGGAGCATGGTGGGGAACACCGGTGGGGCTGGCGGTTTGTGAAGGTTGGGAACTGGGAGGGGCACGGGGAGCGTATCAACAGGACAGAGCCGGATGCCAGTGGGAGGCTTGGCAAGTGGACTAGCCTGGAGAAAGAACATGGGCTGGACGGTGGACGGCGAGGACATCACCAAGGTGCCGCGCTACCGAAAGACCTGAACTGGGTCAAGCCAGAGCTTACAGAAAGCTACTCCTCCATGGCGCCCGACGGTCATACGGCCCAAGTCCACCCATATCTCTTCACTACGAGCATGCTCGAACTTGCGAAGGAGAAAGGAGCGGATCTTATTCTCGGTCAAGCAAAGAGCATCGAACGCGAGAACGGGAAGGTCGTCGGTGTGACGTACATCGATTATACCTCCGGAGAAATGAAAATGCTACCCGCTACCAAAATTATCCTTTCGGCAGGCGCGTGGAGTCCATCGCTTGTTCCAACCATACCGGTCTCGGGAACTCGCGCACACTCCATCACGATCAAGGCGGGGGAGCATATCGCGCCGTACTGTCTCTTCACCGAGATACAACTCCCTACATCGTCTGGTGGAAGCAAGTTAGTCACACCGGAGATCTACGCCAGACCAGACGAGGTTTACGCATGCGGATCCGGCGACAAATCGACCTTGCCGCCCAGCGTAGATGAAGTCGAGGTCGACGAAGCAGCGTGCGACAGCATCGAAACTCACGTGGCGAGCATCAGCGATCAGTTGAGGTTCGGTACGGTGCAAGCGCGGCAGGCATGTTTTCTCCCTGTGGTCAGTACCGGCGGCGGACCTATCATCGGGGAAGCAAAGAAGGTGGCGCAGGGATTGTTCATAGCCACGGGACATACTTGCTGGGTTTGTGATGTCTGGCATTCAAAGTGCTAACGGATACTAACAAATACGCGGCGTAGGGGATCTGCAACGCACCGGGCACTGCGAAGGCATTGAGCGAGCTTGTCATGGACGGAAAGATTAGTTGCGCAAAGCTCGGCACTCTGGACCCTTCACGATACCTGTTATAGTCAATGGGTGTACCGACATTCAAAGAACGGGAACTGTTTCGCCGCAAAGCGACCTCCGATTGGCCAATTGTGCGTTGCGATCCAACAGCTTTGGATATTTGCTTGCCATCAGCTATCCAAGATTCGGGAAATATATTGGCAAGGTATTTGTTCGCTGGTGGGTACCTCCGGTGGTGCCTGACAAGACCGTCTGCATGCATCTGTACTGCTGTACAGAAGATCACGAAATACGTTTAACATGCTGTTGGAGGCCCCCGATGGCTACGGACCCTAGTCGCGATACCCTGGTCTTGATTCGTTAACCCTTTGCCGATATCCCGAACCACCGACAGTTCCTGACGCGGTCGGATTCTCCACCTCGCTCGCGACACAACGTACAGAAAGGTACATCTGGGCGGTCACTTCGGCGATTTCCCCAAGAAGCGGCATTATGCACGCTGTCGGCTGCGCGTCTACGCGTGCGAGAGGGGATGTTGTTGCCCTCACCTTCGATGTCGACGTGCCATCTCCTGCCGATAGGATTGTTGTCAGGGATCTGGGTATCAAGCTTAACCAGGACGTGATTGGCTACGTCTTCGACCCTCTCAGAGGTCGCTTATGCTTCGAAGTAACTGGCGCGTGCAATACCATACGAGTACGTGTAGATAAAGTGTAATAGGGTAGCTGATTGCCATAGATCCTGACGAGGAACGTACGGCAGTTCCCGATCCGTACGTTTGCGGCGGCGCCGGGCTGACTCCGCGCGAGACCATGCACGACCATGAGCGTCTGACTTGACGCGTCGCGTCTCTGCGTATTAGCACTGTGGTACTCGGTGTGGGTGATATTCAACCACGGGTTTACCCATAAGATGGGGTCTACCGACCATCAGGATGGATTGGATTCACCCACATCCTGGGGGACACAGCCCAGGGTGTGGGTGAAGCCAAATGGATGATTTTCGCCCAGTACATGTCCGATTTAAACCACACGCGGTTCACGGGTTCTCACCCACTTGTATCACCCATTTTGTTGGTTATGTATACAGCCTGCATCCTAGCATTGTACATTGAACCCGCCAGTCGCACGGTTGGTCCAAATTGGGAATCGATCGATCGTGATCGCGCCAGCGCTGCCCGAGCGCTCGCCGTCACTGTTCGCCAGCGGGCACATTGCATGGCTAAGATGCTACCAGGAAGACTGGATTAAGGGCACAGAGGCTACAGACTTGGTGCTACATCGAAACTATTCACCCACGCTTGGAAATCAAGTTGAATGTCCCGCGTTGTCTACGGCTCTGGTCGTCGCTGGCGCCGTTCGCTTGCGCCGCGGGGCAGCCCCAGATGGCTCTTCAGCGTTCTCGAGCCGAGAGGTAGCCGTGGACTGCGTCTTCTGACGCTTTGACGAAGTCGGATGTGCCTTCGGGCGCTGTTGAACTGCGGTTGTAGTAGACGAGGAAGGGCGCGGGCGCGATGGTTCGCGATCGGTCGGTGCAAGAACTCCGTGGTCCTCGTTGTTTCCGGCAGTTCTAGTTGACTCGCGCTCGCTGCCGCATAGAGTTTGAGTTAGTGATGGTGGTTGGTTGGCTGATGGGAAGCTTACCGGGCCCTCAGCCTCTTGCTGTCCACCGCGAGGCGCGCTAGCTGCGTCTTCGATGGTGGCCGGCGCACTGCTTGAGGGGCTGGAGTGTGTTGGTCGAACGGCAACATTGATGACGCGGTCGACGATGAGGGCGGGGTACGATTGACGACGAGGGAGGGGTACGGTCCGCAGAGCGCATTGACGGCAAGGGTATGGGCAGGACGTGGTTAACGTGGATGCCAAGGATGGAGCGTGGTTGACGGATTGAGGTGGGCACGATGCGTGCTCAAGAGTGAGTGCACGGCTTTTTTGGGGGAGGGCGCGGTATGTTCGAGGACGACTGGAG